ACATCTTTCTTTAGGTTGGGAAAGTTTTCTTCTATAATTTTATTAAATATATTTTCTGGGCCGTTGAGTTGCACCTCTTCTCCTTCTTCTACTCCAATTATTCTTAGGTTTGGTCTTTTTATTGTGTCCCATATTTCCTGAATGTTTTGTGATGAGAATTTGTTGGTTTTGCTGTTTTCTTTGATCAGTGTGTTTATTTTCTCTATGGTATCTTCAGTATCTGATATTCTTTCTTCTATCTCTTGTATTCTGTTGGTAGTACTTGTCTCTGTAGTTCCTGTTCGTTTACCCAGATTTTCCATCTCCAATCTTCCCTCGGTTTGTGTTTTCTTCATTACTTCCATTTCATTCTTCAAGTCTTGAACTGCTTCCCGTACCTGTCTGATTGCTTTTTCATGTTTCTCTTGATTTTCTTGGGTATCTTTAAGCGATTTATTCATTTCCTCTACCTTTTTGTTTGTAATCTCTAATTGTTTATGGCAGTTTTTCACCTCCTGCTTAAGGTCTTCTATTATTTTCATATAATTCACTTTTGAGTCGATTTCTTCTAATTCTTCTGGAGTAGGGTGTACAATTCTTCTTATTTCGGGATCCCTTGATTCTGGTGAAGTCATGTTGCCTTTCAGGTTGTTGGAGGAAGTCTTGCATTGGCGCCTTCCCATCTCCTCCTTCAAATGGAGCCAGGAGAGGCCTGGTGTCTTGGTCCAGACTTTGCTGTGAATGAATCTCTGGGTGTATCTTTTCAGTGTAGAAGCAGGGACCGTCCCGTTGAGCTGGAACTCCTCAGCATCCAAACATGGACTACCGTCCAGATGGAACTCCTCAGGACCGCTCTGGGTGGGTTGTGGATGCAAGCCTGATGTCTCCCCTGGTGCCGGGTTCGGATCTCCTTGCTGCTTGCGTGTCTCGTAAACAAAGGACCTACCTAGCTCGCTGCAGGCAGGCTAGTGGGGACAAAGGAGCTACCACCCTTCTGTTTGCCCTGCCGATTCGGATTCGGTCCTAGAGCCCGGACAGGCTGGGCTGGGAGATGTTATGTGGTCAAAGAGGGAAGGGAGTCAGAAGGAGGGGGGGAGGGTTGTGGATGCAAGCTGGGTGGGATAGGAAGAGATCTGCCTGCCTCTGCCTGCCAAGTTCTGGGATTAAAGTTGTGTGCCCCCATGGCCTGACATGAGGTTGTATTTTAAAATTACTTGCTAGGAGAAAACCGTTTCCAATGAAACTGGAATTATTAAAATTTTTGGACATTTTAAAGATATAATGGGGGCTGGAGAGATGGCACAGTGGCTAAGAGCACTGGCTGTTCTTCCAGAGGTCCTGAGTTCAAGTCCCAGCAACCACATGGTGGCTCACAACCATCTGTAATGAGATCTGGCGCCTTCCTGGCTTGCGGGGCATACATGGAGGCAGAATGTTGTATAGATAATAAATAAATCTTTAAAAAAAAAGATATAATGGGTTGTCCCCTTTTTAAGACAGCAGAGTAGGGCTGGAGAGATGGCTCAGAGGTTAAGAGCATTTGACTGCTCTTCTAGAGGTCCTGAGTTCAATTCTCAGCAACCATGTGTAACTTGAAATGGTGCCCTCTTCTGGCGTGTAGGCAGAGCCTGTATACATAATAAATAATCTTAAAAAAAAAAAAAAGACAGCAGAGTACATTTCAGATTTTGACTGTGTCCTATGAAATAGCCTTAGAAGCTTTCATAAGTATAATAAAGACAAATAATCTACAAAAATATAGCCGAAAATTTGAGATCACTTCACTTTGCTGTGGTATTATGATTGGCCTAGGGATATTGTGGTGGTTAAAAGTCCTTTGGAATTTAAGAGTTAAAATGACTTGATTTCTTATTAGTTACAGTACTATTCATTTATTTTTTGACTTAAACTAGATGAAGGTGTTTGTGGTAGTCATGCTACTGTTATAACTTTCATAGTTTTTTTCTGTATCCTAGATCTATTAAGGATATTCTTAATATGAGCCATATATGGTGATGCAGGAATGAGAAATTAAAGGATAACCTCAGTTACATTGTTCAAGCCAGCCTGAGCTACATGAAACTAGTTGGTCTTTTTTTTTTTTTTTTAACTCTTTGACTCTTTTCTTTGTGGGCCCCACACCCAGCTCCCAAATAATCACACAAAGAGGCTTTTTCTTACCTATAATTGTCCGGCCTTATCTTTGCTTGTTTCCAGCCAGCTTTTCTTTCTTTTTTTTTTTTTTTTTTTTTTTTTTTTTGTTTTTTTTTTTTTTTTTTTTTTTTTTTTTTTGGTTTTTTGAGACAGGGTTTCTCTGTGGTTTTGGAGCCTGTCCTGGAACTAGCTCTTATAGACCAGGCTGGTCTCGAACTCACGGAGATCCGCTCCGAGTGCTGGGATTAAAGGCGTGTACCACCACCACCCCGCATCCAGCCAGCTTTTCTTAACTTACACTATCCTGTCTGTCTTTTGCCCTGTGGGCTTTTACCTTTCTCTATTTCTGTATATCTTTTCTTTCCTTCTTAGTATGTGTCTTGACTGTGTGGCTGGGTGGCTGGCTCTTGGTGTCCTCTCCTCCTTCTCTTATTCTCTTATCTCCTTTTCCCAGATTTCTCCTCCTATTAATTCTCTCTGCCTGCCAGCCCCACCTATTCTCTCTCCTGCCCCACTATTGGCCATTCAGCTCTTTATTAGACCAATCTAATGTTCAGACAGAGTAACACAGCTTCACAGTGTTAAACAAATGCAACAGAAAAGAATGCAATACAATGCAAAACAAATATTCCACAGCAGAAACAAATGTAACCTATCTTTAATAGTCTATAATGTGAAACCCTGTTTGAAGAAGCTTTTCCAAACCTATGATAAATAAATAAATAATAAAGGTTTTTCTATTGTATTTATGTATTTGTTTGAGACAAGGGTCAATAGCCAAGGGTATCTGGAATTCACTGTGAAGCCAATACTGGTCTTAAACAGGAGATAACCTTCCATGTTAATTTTCTACATACTGATGTTATAAACATTAAAATCATGTAAGGTTCTGGAGCAGTGGCTCAGTGGTTATGAAACAGTACTCTTCTTCCAGAGTACTGGGTTCAGTTCCCAGCACTCACACAGAGGATCACAACTGTCTGTAATTCCAGTCCCAGGGGATCTAGTGTCCTCTTTTGGCCTCATTGACCCCAAGCAGACATTCAATGCACAGACATACATGCAAACAAAAGACCCATAGCCATCAAACAAACAAACAAACAAATAAGTTTTGTATACAAAAAGAATACCTAACTATTAGAGGGTGGAAAATAATTGCCCTCTTTTTTTTATTCAAGATTTCTATCATTTGTTCTGTGTTACTTCCATCAGTTCTCGTCTAATTAATCACTGGTTTTCATGGAGTGCTGTGCTGATAGATAGCTCGGTGTTATTTGAATTTGGCTACAGTCTTTAGGTGTCTGTTTTATTTGTTGTCTGTTTGAACTGGCTAAACATTATAGAAAGAAATCTGCAGTTAAAAGATAGGGAGTATAAATTTACATTTCTGTCTACCTTTTGAGAACTATGCGTTGTTATAATGTAACATGTGAATTATAATTTCACATGTAAGAATGTTTATGGCAGGTAGGTCCAGTGGCACAGCCCTATAATCTCAGTATTTGAGAGGTGGAGGCAGGGCAATTAGTTTTTCAGGGCCAGCCTTGGCTATATTTCCAGTTTGAGGACAGTCTGGTCTATATGAAACTGTCTCAGCAGACTAAAAAAAGAATGTTTGTGATAGCTAATGTATGGATATTAAAGTAGCTGAAATATTTTAATGAATTAATCTTAGTTGAATTAAGTTAATGGTTTGAATAAACATAATAATCATGGATATGAGTTTGAAGGAGAAAATAAAAGGTTTTTAAAAATTAATTTCCATGGTTCTTTTGTTAATGTATCTTTTTTTTTTTTTAGAATTTTAGCTCCTAATAGTAATTTTCAAGATGTTGAGACTCTCTATAACTTCCTAGTCAAGTATGAGGTATGAAAAAAATGTTTATATATTATTCACATAATATTTATATTGTTTGAATATAAGTACAATAAGATTGCTATTGGAATTTTCTTTAAATGAAATTTTTTTTTGATGCAGGATCTTCCTGTTTTATACAGACTGGCCTAAATGAAAACTTGAAAGCGTCATAAAAATTTGCCAATGACATTTGTTTTTCTACCTGTTGAAAAAAAATGTATATATTTAAGATTATACAAGGTAATGTTTTGTAGGACATGATAGCTCATGCCTGTAATCTCAGGACTCAGGAGGCTAAGGCAGGAAAATTGTGATTTGGAGATCACTGTGGGCTACATAGTAAGTACCAGGTTAGCCTGGGCTGTGAGAAGTCTTGTCTCAAAAAAACAAAACAAAACAAAAATAAACAAAGGCGGATGGAGGTGGGGCTCAGCTTTTAACAGCATATATTGCTTATAGGACAGGCAGTTCATAACTGCCTGTTATTCTCCAGTTCCAGGAGATCCAGTGCCTTTTTCTGGCCTCTGTGGGTGTTTGTGTGCACAGACGCACATACCCACACTCTAAAAGTTTTTATCTTAAAAAAAAAAAAGTAGTTATTACATTCAAGTAAATAAACAGAACCACCTTCTTATATAATATCCTTTTTAATTGGCAATAAAATTAAAATCTACCTTTTTAGCAAAACAATCCTAAATTTAATGATGTTATTAACTATAGTCTTCATGTTGTATAGTAGCTTGCTCCATTTGTTCATCTGTATCTTCTCCAATCTATTTCTTACCAATAACATAACCAATTTTTATCTTGTTCCCCAAGTGAAATTACAATAGAGTCCTGAAATATACTTGTTTCAGCACAGAATTTGTTTGTTTGTTTTCTTAAATTTATTTTATTATGTGCATTGGTGTTTGCTTATGTGTCTGTGCGAATGTGTCAGATTCCCTGGAACTGGAGTTACAGGCAGTTGTGAGCTGTCATGTGGATGCTGGGAATTGAACCTGAGTCCTCTGGAACAGCATCAAATGCTCTTAACTGCTGAGTCAGCTCTCCAGGCCCTGTTTGCTAAAGCTTGGGCCAGCCTGAAACTTATTATGTAGTTCAGACTGTTCTTAAACCCTGGTCATTTCACATCACCTTCCTGAGTACTCGGGTTATTGGTGTATACACCACTCCTAGCTTATGTGTTATATTTAGAAATGATCTCAGTGAAGGAGCAGCACATGCTGGGGCTTCACATTATAGGGAGTCAAACTTCCTTGAATATATTTCTTTACTTTCATGCCTGGTTAGTTCTTCATATAACTTTTTGTATGGCATATTGTCCATTAACAACCTAGTAAGAAGCTGGGCAAGACACCATTTAGTGTATTCATACATAGAAATATAACAGAGTAATTTAAAATGCCTCCAAATGAGTAAAGAAAAAATGTCTTAATAGTTGAAATTAATGAGTATAGACTTTATGAACTTGCGCTTTAATTTTTATTAGTAAGCTAACTATGTGCTTTATAAGTTGCTTAACTTAATGTGGAGTCATGTTGCCTTTATTTATATTGAATACATTATATATATTATATATCTTTGTATGAGTGTTACAGTCTTATGTAATACATAATACAGATCAGACTCAAACTCACTACGTAGCGGAGGATGACCTTGAACTCTTGATTCTCCTGCTCCTCCCAAATGGTTGATTTTAAAGTTAAAGGGTAGTTCTAGGTACTTTTTAAAATATGATCTTTTAGATACTTAAGAATTATTGTGTGTTCTTATTATATCATGTTTTTCTCTCCCAACCACTAACCAAACAGACTATTCTCTTTCTCTTATGATCAAACATCTGTAGCCTGTTGACATTGATGGTCTGTCTGGATTTATACCTTATTGGTCCTGGCATGTGGGGCAAGGGCAAAACATGCACAAAAGGAAAAACTAGACTCATGATGGTTTAATTCCAAATGTATGTTTAAAAAAAATGATTTTTAAAACAAAATTATAGGGCTGGGTATGGTAGCTCATGCCTGGAATTCCAGCTCCTAGAAGGCAGAGTCAGGAGGATCTTCAAGTTTAAGAAGAGCCTGGTCTATGTAGCAAGTTCCATGACAGCCAAGGTTACATGGTGAGTATCTCAAAACAGACAGATAGATCAAAACCAAAACAAATAAACCAACAAAACCCCCAAATCTAAAACCCAGTAGACGAGAGAAAGAGAGAGAGAGATAGAGAGATATATGACTTGGTAGTTAAGAGCCAGAGTTACTGTTGTAGAGGACCAAGATTTGGACCCTTTATAGTGAGTGAGTCATAGCTGTGACTCTAGGTCTGGGGAATCCAGTACCTTCCTTTGGCCTCTAGAGGGCACCAAGCATGCACATGATGCACATTCTTGGGTACAAGCAAAACATTTGTATACATGATTTAAAATAAGTAAATCTTAAATACAAAAACTGGGAAAAATGGGTCAGTGGGTAAAGCACTTGCTATGCAAACTTGAGGACTGGACCCATATCAAGACCAGGTTGGCACGGAAGCACGTTTGTAATTCCAACATGTGAGTCAGTGATAGGATCCTGGGAGCAAGTTGGCCATCTGGGTTCAAGTGAGAGATGCTTCCTTAATATATAAAGGGGAGAGCCATTGAGGAAGATAATTAATGTTAACCTCTAGCCTTCACACATATGCCCACTTGTGCACACACACATGTAGATACACGTGCAAAAAAATTAAAGAATTATAAATCACATAAAATTATGATATACTATATACCAATTTTATCAGTCATAAGTATAATATTAAATATATGTATTACTAGAAATTTAATATATAGACACATCCTCATTTTAAGAAAAATACTAGTATTATATTAACTTTTAAAAGTATGTATATTTATAAACTAAAGATACCTATATCCCTCTCATGTATTTTGACAGTATTTGAGATCAAACCCCAGGCCTTATGCATGGTAGGCTAGCATTTGACCAGTAAGCCACACACACCCCCGCTCTAACATAATTGTATTTAAAAATTTTATAGAATTTAACTTAGAGTAAATGAAGTGTTTCTTCATAAGTATGGGTAATGTCATAAGAAAACATTGAAGAAAGTTACAGAATTTTTCAAATAACTACTACCCTGATCTTTATTGATCATTTGTATGATATAAAAACCTTTAAAGTAATATTAAGTGAATCAGAATAGGGATATTTTCCCCCACTGAAAATATGGACTGGCTAGTAAAACTCAAGCTTCCTTTACAATGCTGGATATTGTACAGTGAGCTGCATCTGAAGCTCTTTATATAGTTTTGAAAATAATGGAATAGAATATAGTTTTATTGAGTTTCTCTCCACTAGTTTCAGATTTCTGAAATTTTAAATAGTATTATATTATTTATTGAATTTACCACCCACTGAAGTGACACCTTCTAGTGGGCAGTTTGCTGAAGAAGATGGAGGGTTATGAAATAAGAACAACTTAGGTACACCTTTGAAAATGAAATTCTGTGGGCAGGTGTCTATCTCGTTGGGTGTACTTGGCTAGTAAGGCCCTGGGTTCAATCTCTAGCACCAAAAACAAAAAGACACACAAAATTTCTTGATACAAATTTCAAGGTTCTTCCTTGTACATAAATACTACATTGTCGGGCTGGAGAGATGGCTCAGAGGTTAAGAGCACTGACTGTTCTTCCAGAGGTCCTGTGTTCAATTCCCAGCAACCACATGATGGCTCACAACCATCTGTAATGAGATCTGGTGTCCTCTTCTAGTGGGCAGGATACATAGAACACTGTATACGTCATTAATAAAAAAAAATCTTTAAAAAAATACAACATTGTCTGCATCAGAAATAGGGAGTTTTAAGAAATAAAGATTCTAGGACAACTTGCTGTGCAAACCTGGTCATATAAGTTTCATTCCTGAAACCCAACATCAAAAGGAGAGAACGGGCTCTCAAAATTGTCCTCTTACCCTGATAGTTGTTCACACACTAATGATAAAATTAAAAAAAAAAAAAACAAGATTCCTTCATTTTGTGTTTCAGGTGTACAAGAGTTTGAATGATGGACTCTTATATGTGGTTTTATAAATTATGTCTTTGGGTAACACTTTAAAATACAGGTTTTTAGGAAGTGTCTATGGGCTAGAGTGTAGCTCTAGGTTCAGTATTTGCTTAGCTTGTATAAAACTCTGAGTTTGATTCCTAGAGCCATAAGGAAGTAGGGAGAGAGGAAGAAAAGGAATGTATGAATGAAATGAAGGAAGGAAGGAATGAATGATGGGGAAGAAAAGAGGGAGGGGCAGAATTACCTGTGAGTCCAACCTTTTCCTAAATCAGACCTTTCCACACAGCTTACAGTATTTTTTCTGTACAATTGAATGCCAAAGTAATGTGCTTTTTAAGATTCCTGTTAATTTAGATCCATCTTGTTTCTACTATTTCTAGTTCTGGGACTAGATTGAGTTGTAATAATAGGACTAACGTTTACACATACTTCAGTATTAACATTTTAGTCACCAAACTTCTTCCTATTCCTGTCAGTTTTCATTTAGGTGGTGACTGAAGATCTGATATCCCGCTCTCAGAATATGCCCCATTTTAACTGTGCTTTCATCGCTCATTTAGTTTAACATGTCTCCTTAATAACTGTATTTTGGTTCTTTTCAGGTAAGCAAAAATGTCAGCTTTACTGCCCAGGAACTTTATGATTGTGTTTCTCAGACTGAGTATCGGTAAGCACATCTATATGTGATAATGAGACACCTATAACTTTGACTATGGAGCGCCAGCTCCTAGACCGCACCCAGAGTTTTGAGAGAAAGCCACAGAGTCAGCATTTCTACCTAAGGTTTTTTTAGAGGGGAAAAAGCACACTTTCCTGATGGTGTCACTCTTTATTCTCCCATGTTAATTCTGCCATTTCTCTTTGTTCTTTACAACTTATAAAGATCCACAAAGTCTTTTAGGCATTACATCTGAGGTCATATACTATTTCTTAAGTAAATGATAAGAAACAGAGTCGTTCCAACAGCTCACAGTACAATAAATCCAGATAAATTGTCACATAGCAAAGAAGAAGCATTTCACTCAGTCAACTTCCTAACTAATGGGTAACCCTCAGCTGCAAAGGGAGAAATCTTTTTGTTATCTATAGAGGTAGCCTTATAAAGCTAAACTACTAAGGAGACTAAAAGAAATAAGGAAATTGCGTGCTATATCCTATACTTCTAAATGTATAAACATTTTAAACTAACAGTTTGTGGTTAGTGGTTGTGAAAGGCTGGACTTTGTTGGACTGGAGACTGTTTGCAAAGAGCAATGTGTTGTCAGAGTGCAGATTGTTGGAGCTGAACCACTGTGCCATGAGCTGCTGGGGGGGAGGTAGAGGGCGGGGTCACTCAGGCGGCACTCTCCAAGGCACAATGACATGAAAAGTATTTTAAAAATATTTCACCCAATAAACAGCAGGAAGAAGTTTGGAGAGAAATAACTTAGCTCAGACTGGTTTTAAACTTGTAAGGGCCAGCAGGTCCTCTTGTCTGAGCCTCTGTAGTAGTTGGGACTGTGGACCATCTATCTTTATAGATGATTGTGTCCAAAAATATGGGCCATATCTGTTCTATGTGAACTTAGAACTCTAGAGTGTTAGATAGGTGTGGTGCATACCTGTAATCTCAGCTACTTAGAAGGCTGAGACATGAAGGTCACATATTTAAGCCAGGTGTAGCAATTTAATAAGACTATCAGAGGAAGAAAGTAGAAATAGTTTTCACTTTAACTTGGACTCAGATAAATGGCTTTTATAGGCACCAAGGAAGAACCACCTTGCAGTTAGGGAGTATCCAAAAATGTAATGGGCTGCTTCTCATGTTTGTAAGGGACCTGTTACCAAGAGTGAGTGCTCAAGGGATGTGACACACTGGAGGTGCTGGAGAATGGAATTCAGAGGCTGGTTATCTGTCCACCAGGTGAGTCCTGAGGGAAGGAACTCAGGAACTCCGTCACCACACTAACTACACCCAGCAGCCTTTTGCACTGACAACTTGCTGCAGGAAATAACTGAGTGGTTGTTGCCAGAACACTGACTCACAGGAAGGGAAGGAGCTTAGCACCACCTCCAGGCTAAAGAGGAGAGGGAGCCCCTCCTAACTCTGGTAGGGAAGGGAAGGAAAAGGAAGGATACAGAAATAGATTTGGTTACTGAAGGATACATTCTTTTGTTTTCAAATATAGAGTAAATGACCAAGGATAGGAATATGGACTTGCCCTTTTTGTTTTTTTGTTTTTGTTGGTTTTGGTTTTTTTTTTAGAATTTTATAAGAAAACATTTTCATCTCTGCTGTTTCCAACCTTGTACAAGACTTTTTTGAAAAACTTTTGTTTTTGAGTTGTTGGAAAGAATTGGCAGCAAAAATTTTAAGTATAGGAAATAGACCTAGGGTAACTCAAAGCCAAAATTTTTTAAAATAATATTTTTTAGTTCTTTGAGAATTCCATACAATGTATTTTGATCATCTTCACCCCTCCTCCCTCTCTCCCTCTCCTCCCTCTTTCCTCATCAAATCCAGTATATGTTGAACAACTGCTCTTTGAGTGGGACCTGCCATGGAATGGGGTAATATAGAGGTCATACAATTAAATACTGGCTTTGCCTTTCCTTATAATCTCAAATGCCAATGACTCCTCAGGGAAGGATGAGATTATATGTGCCCATACCTCACTCCCTGCTACTTTGATTTTGTCTGGCTTGAGCTTGTGCAAGTCTTGTCTATGAGTTCATATGTGCACCTGCTGTTCTGTATAGAAAACACCATTTCTTTGACATCAGCTGCTATCTCTGGTTCTTACAGTCTTCCCATCTTCTTCCTCAAAGATCCATTAGCCTTAAAGGGAAGATATGATATAAATGTCCTGTTTAGGGCTCAGTGCCTCTTAAGACCGACTCTCTGTGTGTTGATCGTTATGGTTCTCTGTGTGATCACCATCTCCTGCATTAAGCTTCTCTGATGAAGGTTGAGACAAGCATTTATGTATAGCAATAAGTCATTAGGAGTCATTTTAATGCTGTGCCCATTTAGCAGACTTACTGATAGTAGGTTTTCTCCAATGGCCTATCATCTATCAAGTCACAGGTTCTTGGTGTCATTAACAGTGCTAGATGTGGGTCCATCTTCTGAAACAGGCCTTAAATCCTGCCAGAATTTGATTGGTTACCCTGTAACATTCATGCCACTTTGTACCAATGGGCATATCTTGCCAGGCAAGTTATTACTGTAGCTCAGAGGGCTCATGGCTGAGTGAGATTGATGATTACTTTTCTCCTCTGGTAGTGTGCCAGGCGCCTTCCAGCCCTGTAAAAGCCAGCTAGTTGGATGAAGCTTCCAGGTCATAATCTCTCCATGTTTATGACTCAATTATGTGGTGTTTCCAGCAATAGGATCTTACTGTCAAGTTCTGGAAGGTAACCAAGAACAGTGCCAGTAGCTGATTGTGTCTGGGGCTGTCTATTGGGTCCCATTGGCTAACAGCTGAAAAAGAAGCAACCCATTCCTGGTAGTGGGTTATCTGGTAGTGCACAATCTCTAGTTTGGTGTTGTAATCTTGTTAGGATAATTCCACTTAAGTTTCTTTTACATGCGTGTGTGTGTGTGTGTGCGCGCGCGTGTGCCGCATGCTGCTCGCGTAATCTTAGGAAGCTTCCACTGTAATAAGTTTCCATACAGCTTTTTTTAATTTTTTTAAATATTTATTTATTATGCATACAATATTCTGTCTGTGTGTATGTCTGCAGGCCAGAAGAGGGTATCAGACCTCATTACAGATGGTTGTGAGTCCATACAGCTTTTTAGAAAGGTGTTTAGTATCAGTTAATCCTCTCCATATTTTCTCATCTGTCCATCATTCCCATCCTCCACCCACAAATTGTTTTTAGTCACTCTCTGAGAAGCCACACATCCTCAGGAAGAGGGGCAGCTCATATATGGCATATTTACTTTTTGTTGTCTCTCCTTCCTCTCATGGAATCCTGCGTTTTGACTTGCTCTTTTTCCCTTGGTACCCTCTATCAAGGGATCCATCATGTGGGAGGAGAGGTAGCTGTAGTTCTTTCTAACACTATGGACATAGCTCTGAGCCATCCTAGAAGCCAAGGAAGTAATAACATTCTTTTTTTTCTTTTCTTTTCTTTTTTTTTTTTTTTTTTTTTTTTTCAAGACTGGGTTTCTCTCTATAAGAGCTGACTGTCCTGGAGCTCACTTTGTAGACCAGACTGGCCACTACCTTCTGAGTGCTGGGATTAAAGGCGTGTGCCACCACACCTGGCTAGTCATGACATTCTTAATGTAAAGAAGATAAGTACCCTATCTTGAATACCTAACATGCATAGATATTGTACTGGATAACTGAGTAATCTTCCTGAACGTACAGAGACCACCTATTAGATAGAAATATGCTAAATAAAGTGTTTTAGTGCTCTAAAATTAGGGGTCTCATAATTTTGCCCCTATTAGTTTTTGGCAAATCAACTGGATTCATCACAGATTTTCTAAAGAGATTTATTTTTTTTTTAATGCATAGTGTTCTTTCTGCAAGTTTGCCTACACGCCAGAAGAGGGCACCAGATCTCAGTACAGATGGTTGTGAGCCACCATGTGGTTGCTAGGAATTGAGCTCAGGACCACTGAGCCATCTCTTCAGCCCCCTCATCTCAAGTTTTTTAAAAAAGTAAATTAGAGCTGAAAAGATGACCCAGCAGTTAAGAGTACCATTGCTCTTTTAGAGGACCTGAATTTTTGTTTCCAGAACTTAGGTTGGGTTGCTTACAACTACCTGTTAACTCCATCAATATCCTCCTCTGGCCTTCGGGCTTCCACATGAATAAACAGATACGCATAATGTAGCAGGTTTTTTTTCTTTTGGGCCACCAACCAGCTCCCAAATGATGACATGAGACTTATTAATTATCTTATGCTTGCCCCACTAGCTCTTATAGCTTAACCTCTTTATCTTCATCTGTGTTTTGTCTTGGGGTTTTTTACCTTTCTTTTCTTCTGTATATCTTCCTTTCACTGCTTCTTGTATCTGGATGGCTGGCAGCTGCCTGGCTTCTGGCTCTGGGTGTGTCCCTCTCTTTCTCCCTTATTCTTTTCTTTTCTCTATAGCCTAGATTGCTTCTCCTACTTATTCTCCCTGCCTGTCCATTCTGCCTATCCTTTCTCTACCTAGCTCTTGGCCATTCAGCTCATTATTAGACTAATCAGGTGCCTTAGGCAAGCAAGGTAAAACAGTAACATGTCTTTACATAGTTAAGCAAATGCAGTATAGCCTACACATTGTTAACAAAGGCAGTATAAACATATGTAACACACCTACACATAAAGTAATATTCTGCAACTTAAACAAATGTAACACATTTTTGCCTAGTTAAACAAATATTCCACAACACACATAAGTAAAAATAAATCTTTTTTAAAAAAGTAATAATTTACAAATTATGATGTAAGCATAGAGTATATTAGGAATGACTTCCTGCTTTCTCACAGTTTTTGTTTATTTTGAGACAGGATCTCACTATGTAGCCTTGGATGACCTAGAACTCACTATTAGACCAGACTGGTGTCAAAGTGAAATAGATCCACCGGTCTCTGTCTCTCAAGTGCTGGGATTAAAGGTGTGTGTCACCACTCCTGGCATATCTCACCTTTGGTTTAGAGTATGAATTTTCAGTTAATTGCTAGTTGGCTTACAGCAGTGGTTTTATCATTTGGGATGAGGGAATGCTTAGGTCAGAGGAAGTTTGCTGGAGTGGGTTCTCCCTTTACAGTTCACCTTTTTTTAACTCCTCAACTGAAGTAGATACAGTGTAGCCATCTGTTCTGCAGTGCTACTTAGTCCCTGATGACATCTGAACATAAGCTAGAGGTCCTTCAGAGAGTTAGGTAGAAACTTAGGCTGCTCAACCCACAGTATTCTATTTAAAGATTCAACTTTGCTTATTTACAGAAGTCTGCCATGGGAACTCTTATTTTTGAATTCTAGGAATTACAGCTGGAAATCTCAGTTGGGTATTTAAGAATCTGTGCTCTTTGCTAAGAAGAGTATCTTCTCTCAAATTGTCACATTATATTAAGAATATTGCCTGGTGGAACACTTGTCTCACATGCTGAAGTCTAGCTTTAATCCTCAGAACTGTCAAATAGAGTTTTTAATATATCTAAGGGAAATGGGTATACTATGTTTAAAATATTTCTTCACTTTCATGTTCAGTGTAGCATCAGTTACAGTAGACCAGATATGGAATCAGTCTAAATGCCTACCAGCTAAGGAATAGATATGGGAAAATGCTCTTTAGAATACTGTTTAGCCTTTGAAAAGTAGGAAATCCTATTGTTGTAGACATATGGATGGACCTGGGCACTGTTATGTTGAGTGTCTTATGATAGCAGAAAAACAAATACTGTATGAGCTTGCTTTTGTGCAGAGCAAAATACTGGAATCCAAAAACAGGCAGTAGAGTAACAGGCCTGGGGGTAGTGGTTGAAAGATTGGGTGGATGTTAATTAAAGGACACAAAACATCAGTTATGAGTAGTTCAAGAGATGTTTGGGACATAATGTATGTTAAATACCTCAACCATGCCAATTCTGTAATGTATACATATTTCAAACCATACCATATATAGGAAATATCTACAATTCTTTATTTTTTTGAGATAGGCGCTCATTCTGTATTCCATGCTTGTCTGGAACTCACTGAGTATTTGAGGATTTTCCTGCTCTAGCCTCTCATGAGCCATCACACCCATCTGTATAACTAATTTGTTAAAAAGAATTACGTGTGTATGTGTGTACCATAACACACATGTGAAGGCAGAGGACAATTTGGAGAATCACTTCTTTCCTGGAACATGAAGGGCTGCTTGTTGGGGTTTCTGTCCCGCCCAGTACCCCACAGCCGACAAGCCCCCCCCCCCAAAAAAAAATCACAGAGACCTCCATAAGTTATAAAACTGATTGGCCCATTAGCTCAGTCTTCTTATTAGCTCTTGTAGCTTATATTAACCCATTATTCTTATCTATGTTAGCCACATGGCTCGGTACCTTTCAGCTGGGTAGGTTACATCTTGCTTCTCGGTGGTCTGGGCTGGAATGGGAGGGCTTCCTCCTTCCCAGAACTCTCCTGTTCTCATCGCCCCACCTCTACTTCCTTCCTGGCCAATCAGCGTTTATTTAAAACATGATTGACAGAATACAGATAATTCTCCTGCACCACTTCCCCCTCTTTTTTTTTTTAAACAAAGGAAAATATTCATAGTCCATTTTTGGGGAATGTGGGCATAGTTTTTCAAGCTACTTCTGGCTGGCGCTGATAATCTTATGGTTACCTAAAGAAAATTTAGAATTATGATCAAGTCCTGACTTGAAGTCACAGAGGCCAATCTACCTCTGCCTCCCAAGTGTTGGGATTAAAGGTGTGTACCACCACACCCAAACTACTCTTTTTTATTTTTAAGGATTTTAACCTTTATTTTTAAGCCTGCATATAATTTTAACACATTGTAAACCATTTAGAGGTTTTCTTCGTCTTTGAATCTCTCTTTACTGTTTATCTCTCTTTTTCTGACCACATTAGTCTTTATGGAGAGGATTAAAGCCGTGGCTTTGACGGCTGGATCCATCCCATTCCTTAGCTTTCCAGCCTCATGGCGGAGGTACTGGCTGTAGCCATTTTTATTGCCACAACTCTATGGCGTTTTAAGGTCCCTGCCAGCAAGCAAGCTGCAGCATTCTGCTCACAGACCACATTCAAATGTTTCATAGTCAGAATGACTGCCTGAGTCAGAGTTTGCCCTGGCAAGATGGCCCAGAAAGCCAGCATTTTAAAACGGTGCAGCTTTTTTCCTGCTACAGCTGAAAACTGAAAAACATGCCGTTTGCTTTTTTCAACACTTTTTAAGTGTATCTTGGCAGGATCTCTTAAAGAGCTGCAGGGTTTTGCAGCTAAAGCTGAGTCAGGAAGCCACTCTTAAATGAGAGCGTTTTCCTCTAGCAAGCAGAGCAGACCCAAGAAATTGTTGCTACCAAGAAAACTCCATTCTTTCCCAAGCTTTCTTAGGCTTTCTGTGGATGCAGTTATCCACGTTGGGTGCCAATTATAGGAAGCCCATTCCTCCCATTTCTGCCCTGACCACCAAGAAGCAAGATGCAACCTGCCTGGCTGGAAAGGTACTGAACCATGTGGCTAGCATAGATAAGAATAATGGGTTAATATAAGCGACAAGAGCTAATAAGTAGTCTGAGCTAATGGGCCAATCAGTTTATAAGTAATGCAGACTCTCTGTGTGATTTTCTTTGGGGCTTGCCAGCTGTGGGGTACTGGGCAGGACAGAAACTCCAAGAGCAGGCCCTCATGTTACACTTTCTTTCTACCTTAGGGGTCCAGGGGTAAAATGTAGGGTGGGCTAGAGAGATGGTGCAGGGGTTGAGAGGTCTCATTGCTTTTGGGAAAGATTAAGAATTCAGTTGCCAGTACTCAACTTGACCAGCAACAACCAACCACCTGTAACTTGACCCCCAGGGGATCTGACACCCTCTTCTAGCTTCTATGGGCACTACATCCATATGCATAAGCCCATACATAGACATACATATATATATATATATACAGTTACAAATAAATACTTGTTGAGAAAGGGTGTGTAGCCTTGGCTAAAGTGGAACTCATTACATAGCATAAGTTGTCTGGAACTCGCAGATACCTGCCTGCCTCTGGAGTCCTGGGATTTTTGACTATCCTCTGGTGATTTACTATTTCTTTTTTCCCTAGGGAAAAATTAACCATTGGATGCCGCCAACTGATTGAGATGGAATATACCATGCAGCAGTGTCATGCATCTGTCTGTATGGAAGCCAAAAACAGAGGATGGTATGAAGACATGTTCAACAACAGGACTTAAGTTCTTGGGAGGAATGATATCTATCATCATGAGTAACCCAGTAACTTTCAAACTGGTTGCTTTGTTGAACCAAATGTAGGATAATTACAAAAAAATCTTTCACAGATAACAAAGAAAAAAGTTTTATTGACCATCTCATTGAATCCAATGTAGGGTAAACTGTAGACCCAGCTCTTCTGGAGTTGACAATACTTCCTACCTCTAAAGAGAAGAGAGCCATCTTAGTGTTCCTGAGGCAGGAATCACTGTGACATGATGGCAGCCCACAGCCTTAGCATCTCTCCTCTGAATGTGGGCATGTGACCAGACACTGCCAAGCCCTAAGTTTGAAGACATGGCCATGCTACAACATTCCATGAATGGGCTGCTTTCATGAACAAACTGCCATTTCTATAAAACTGGTGGGAAAACCCACCACCACCTTCAGGGATATGAAGTAGAATTTTGATCTAGCACCTTCTCCTCTGTAGCTGCTTTGGGGGCTGTGTCATTTTTCTGTGCATTTCCAGAACCTCCTCTGAGGTTGCCCCTTAACTATGAAGCAGTATGGATTTGGGGAATTAGATGGCAGTGGCTGCTCTTTGCCCCTACCCAAAACTCAAGTGTTTAATTAACTTAGTTATACATTAAGTTGGAAATCCTTGTTTACTGAAGTGTATTATGTTTTTGTTAATATATTAGATTAAGTCAAATTTGATATTCTATAATAAATGTTTATTTTAAATAACAATAAATAACTTATTTTAGTAATATTTTGCTTTTCAGTTTACTTCCAAATACTTTCTGAAATGAGTATAAGGTATGATTATAAAAGTGAGTCTTTCCAGTAAAAAGAATTGATTCTGGATATGTAGTAGTGGTGTTGGATCTGCTGAGCAGATCCTATTTTTTATGTTTGCAGGGTGAAAAAAACCATGTTTTGGTTTGTAGACAGTTGACTGTTGTAGCAGGACCATGAACCTCTCGATGGCTAGGAGAGTCAGCGTGGCAGGTCTTCCTTGTTTTTTTTTTTTTTTTTTGATTTTTCGAGACAGGGTTTCTCTGTAGCTTTTTGGAGCCTGTCCTGGAACTAGCTCTTGTAGTCCAGGCTGGCCTCGAACTCACAGAGATCCACCTGCCTCTGCCTCTGAGTGCTGGGATTAATGGCGTGCGCCACCACCGCCCTGCCTTCCTTGGTTTTTTAAGACTGATAGACTACACCTCTAGCTGGCCTGATAGGTCAGTTTGACCTTGAGCTTATGGCACTTTTCCTGCTTTGGTCTCATTAAGGCTAGCATTACAGGCATGCACTACCATGTTGCTTGCTCTGAAGCATGAGGATCTGAATTTAGATTCCCAACTTCCATATAAAGAGCCAGGCAAAGCAGCATCTGCCTATAATCCTCATGCTATGGAGGCAGAGACATTAAGACTCCCAGAGCTCACTGGCCAGACACTATCTCGAAAGTAAGGTGGAGAGTGATGGAGTCACTTCCTGAAAAATGTTCCCTTAGTGAACCTTCATCTTGCTGACTCAGCTAGACTAGTCAAGCAAGCCCCAGGGATTCTCCTGTCAGTTTACAGGTATCACACCCTTTAATGCAGTACATAGTGTTAAGTCCCTTAGGCAAAATTTGAGGTGCTTTGACTCCAGAAGAATGTCTTTATGGGGTACATTCCAGGATCTGATAGAGATGCAATGATTTCAGTTTATTAAGTGGCTTGTCACTAGTGCATACCATAGAGCTTTCAAGTCTAAGTCGTCAATTTGTCAACACTGATACAACTGGTCATACTGAATTAAACATAGGATAGTGTAGTTCCCTTTTACATGGAGGGTTAATCACTCTAGTGGGTTGATTAGCAAAAGATCCTAAGAGCAATCAAACTACTGGCTGGCTTGTCTAGTCTCTGGGTTGCAAGTGCTGTGAGTGGCACTTCGTATTGTATAGATTTTCTGAATACAGAGTAAAGGAGGACTGTCGTGATTCATGGTTGAAAAGCACAGGTGGGACAGGATGTTGTCAAGTCGGAAATATGAACACTATGACCTTGGCTCAGAGTTGACCAAGGGACTACAAGAACATGAGTTGACTGAGAAAACTGCTCCATTGAGATAACATTCAAAATATTGAGAAAGTAACATTTGGGTCTGTCTCCTGGACTTCTCTGATACCATCCAAGATCTGCAATGTCAATGTGAAACAGCTATTCATGAAGTTGTGATCTGTAGCCTCAGTTGTCCAAGTCTTGTGCTAGTCCAGTGTTACATATTCCAATTCTTTAGTCAGTTTTCTTTGGCCCCAACTAGTGCCGGGGTCCAAACTAGAATGTCCTCTCAAGGAAGGAAATAGATCTGTTTTTATAGAATTAGGTCGGGAAAATTATGTGTATAACTATTTTGTCTGCATGTATGTGTGTGTGCCAGTTATGTGTCTGGTGTCCATAGAAGTCAAAAGTGGGCAGTGTATACCCTGGAACTGTGCAGACAGTTGTGAACCAACACATGAGTCCTGGGAATCAAATCTGCTCTCTATAAAAGCAGTAGGTACTCTTAACCTCTAAGCCATTTCTCCAGTATAGAATTTTATTTTTTTAAATTTGAGGTAGGGTTAGGTATTTGGTGAAGGCTGGCCATGCTGATTTGAGGACCAGAGTATGATATCCAGCACTCCAGTGAGAATGCCAGTAATGGTGCAAACCTGTAATTCCAGGACAGGGAAAGCAGACAGGAGAATCCCTGAGGCTTTGCTAGACAGTCTAGCTGAGTCAGTGAGCAAGGTTCACTGAGTGGGGCTGGAGAGAAGATGGCTCAGTGGTTAAGAGCATTGCCTACTCTTCCAAAGGTCCTGAGTTCAATTCCCAGCAACCACATGGTGGCTCACAACCATCTGTAATGAGGTCTGGTGCCCTCTTCTGGCCTACAGGCATATAGACACAATATATTGTATACATAATAAATAAATTAAAAAAAAAAAGGTTCACGGAGTGACCTTGTCTCAGGAAGTGACAGGAATACAGTCCATGTTGACCCCTTGTACACACACACAATCCACAGAGGTCAGGCATGGTGGCTCACACCTGTAGTCCAGGTATTCAGAAGGAAAAGGTAAGATTCCCACAAGTCTGAGACCAGCCTGGTCTAAACAGTCATTTCCAGAGGTTAGCCACAGCTATAAAACAAGACTGATAGCTCACAATCACCTATAACTTCAGTTCCAGAACACTGAACCCCACTTTTGGCTTCTGGCTGGCATGCACCTGCAACACAGGCATATATGCAGATAAAACATCCCCATATATAAAACTGAAACAAAATCACAAAAATAACATAAAGCTGTGTGTGGCATAGCTAATCCAATCTCAACTATGTATTCTTTCCCCCCCTCTCCACCTAGCTGGGATTACAATAGGCTTCTAAGCATTCTTGCATTCTACCACATTCTTCCCTATGATTGTCTTTAGAGAACTAAAACACTGAACAATGTTAAGCTACTCTATAAACAATAGAGCACTCATTAAAAGTCGTAATAAAAACTCAGTTGAGTGTTGGGGCTGCGTGCCCTTAATCCTAGCATTTGGGAGGTGGAGACAAGAGACCAGCTAGTGAGTGCTACCTTATGAGATCCTGTCTTTTGGCTCTCGGCACCCCCGTGTTGGCCCACAACCATCCATATATAATTCTAGTTCCAAATGATCTGACACCTTTTTGACCTCTGTGGGCATTACACACATGCACTACACATACATATTTACACACATAAAAAATAAAATGAAATATTTAAAAAGGTATGGCATCACTAAGCATGGTGACATACACATTTAATCCTGGCACTCAGGAGGCAGGGGCAGAAAGATCTGTGAGTTCAAGATCAGCCTGGATAATATGATAATATATAGTAAGTTCCGGGACTAGATAGTAAGTTCCAGGCTAGCTATACACACACACACAAGCACTGAAAAATGTGGTATTGACAATAGTATTTTAAAATTATTCCAGACCACATAATAACATAAACCTCTGATTTTTATGCAGACAATGCCATTTTTTCTGTACCTAAAGAAAATACAAGTTGGGGGCTGGTAAGATGGCTCAGTGGTTAAGAGCACTGGCTGCTCTTCCAGAGGGCCTGAGTTCAATTCCCAGCAACCACATGGTGGCTCACAACCATCTGTAATGAGGTCTGGCGCCCTCCTCTGGTGTGCAGGCATACATGGAGGCAGAATGTTGTATACATAATAAATCTTAAAAAAAAAATACAAGTTTCAAATGTAGGTTAAACACTAGTTGGTTGCTGAGCACTATCTGGTTGTTTTAGTATTGAGATAGGTTATTGTTTCTTCTTTAAAAGCATGCTTTTAGGCAACAAATTCCATTCTGTCACCAACAGTGAATTTAGGCAAACTTTCATGAAGCATATTTCTTTTTTTTTAAATATTTAAATATTATGTATACAGCATTCTGTCTGTCTGTATGTCTGCAGGCCAGAAGAGGGCACCAGATGTCATTACAGATGGCTGTGAGCCACCATGTGGTTGCCGGGAATTGAACTCAGGACCTTTGGAAGAGCAGGCAGTGCTCTTAACCACTGAGCCATCTTACCAGCCCCCTGAAGCATATTTCTTATGCAGTGGGAACTGATTTGCTTTTGTTTTTCTTTTTTTGTATTTTTTTCAAGACAGGGTTTCTCTGTAGCTTTGGAGCCTGGTCTGGTCTCGGACTCAGAGATCCGCCTGCCTGTGCCTCCAAGTGCTGGGATTAAAGGCATGCACCATCACCGCCCAGCATGAGAATTGATTTTTTTTTTTTTAAGACCCTCAACTCGAAACTTTATTTCATGACTGAACAAGAGTACAGAGATCTGTTTTAGGAATAGTCATTAGACCACATCAGATCTGCTAACCTGCCAAACAAGTTTAATCCAAAATCAAACCAGGAAAAGTACGTAGTAGGTGGACTGACTTTCCTGATGGTTGTATGCCAGAGAAATGAGGTGATAACTGATACCCCAAGTCAGTGTTTCTATAAAACACAAACCTCACACCATCCCTTACTTCAGATATGGCAAGTATTTTCCACTAATACTATAAGCTCATCCTTAACTGGGGGGATGAGACACCCACACTGTAAGTAATGAATGAATCGAGTAACAAACCACATTTGGACATTAATCCCACAGTGCAAGAATTTACTGCAAAGTACCTTTAATGTGTTTGCATCTGCAGCAAGCATTAGGATTTGCTCATTTGGGCACCATAAGTTAGGTGACACCAAGTCATCCCAAACAGTATTAATCTAAGAAAACTGAACAAAACAGTTCTGAAAAAGGGTGCATTCACAAACCCAATAGTTTAATTTTTTTCAATCAAAGGCTTCCACTTACAATTGCTTTGTTAGTGATAAATAATAAAGACAGGTTAAAAGTCCTAATCTGAGTCAGTCAAGTAATTCATCAAACCCAAGTTTGAATTATTACCATGTTACTGTTCAGCAATTCCATCCAAATAAACATTGATACTGCATTCTCAAATAGAAAAGAAAAAGTACAGCTACGGCAAATGCTTACATTTGCATTCTGAGCATTTAAAAGAAATACCCCGCTTGCATCCTTCACTGCCACTCTGCTTGGATCTGTCGTATTTTACTTCAACAGATAAAGGACTCTGCTGAGAATATAAAAAGTTATAAAAATGTAATCATAAAAGACTAAATATTGGTAGGCATGTCAACTTTCTTTTAATAAAAACAAAAATAGACATTGTTATCTATT